TGTCTCTGCTGGCACGCTACTGAGCTCAAATAAAGTTCGCATGGATGGCGAGGAATGTCAGCGGTCAGTAGTTTACACGCATACCAGTGGGATAATACAGTGTGTGCTAACCGAGACTCCCCACTTCGGAAGCGTCATCACTGACGACAGCTTCAGCGTCAATGTAAAGTCGAATAGCAGCGCGCCTTCGGTGTAAAATCACCTGTCAAACTTTCTTGCAAGCCCTGGTCTGCAGGCGCAAGGAGCGTTATGCGACTACACATCAGGTAACAATCGCGTTCATCTGCTGGGAGGGCCCTGCAGGACAGACTCGGTGTGTTATCGCTCAAGGTCATGTGTCACGCCTCTTCCGGCGGAGCTGCGCCCCTCAGCCCGCGGTCACGTCGCGCCCAGCGGACACCCCGTGCTCGCGGACACCTCGCGCTCAACGGACACCCCGCGCCCAGCGGACACCCCGCGCTCAGCGGACACCCCGCGTCCAGCGGAAACCCCGCGCTCACGGACACCCCGCGCCCACGGACACCCCGCGCCCACGGACAGCGTCGAGCGGACACCCCGTGTCCAGCGGACACCCTGCGCCCCGTGGACACACCGCGACCACGGACACCACGTCCAGCGGACACCCCGCATTCACAGACACTCCGCATCCAGTGGACACCCCGCATCCAGCGGACACCCCGCGCCCACGGACACCTCGCGTCCAGCGGACACCTCGCGTCCAGCGGACACCTCGCGCTAGACAGATACCCCGCGCCCAGGGGACACCCCGCGTCCAGCGGGCATCCCACGTCCAGACGATGTCCCGCACCCGGCGGATACCCCGCTCCAGGCAGACACCGTGCACCCACAGACACCCCACGTCCAGCGGACACCCCGCATCCGGTGGTCCGCGTAAGTACCTCGCCACAGGGACGCTGACTCGAGTCATCGGGACCTGACTCCAGACACTGAGCCTAACTAGGGTCGCCGAACGCTGACTAGAGCCACATTCGAGTTACCCCGCGCTGACTGCGGTGTACGAGGCGGCGACTCGAGTCACATGGTGACGATGCTGATCCGCGGTTGCCGACTCGAGTTACTTTCTCGCCAGCCGGTGACTCGGTCGGTCGCCGTGCAGCCCAGGGACACCGGTAGCCATGGCGACGGCGGCGGCCCTGGCAGCTCCAGGGCGGGCAGCGCTGGGCTCCGTCCTCCGTCCTGCAGCGAGCGGCCGCCAACGGCGAAGGTCACAGGAGCGCGGCGGCCACAAGTGAATCCGGCGCCCGGCAGAGCACGGGGTTCGTCGAAGGTCACAACGGCGAAGGTCACAGGAGCGCGGTGGCCACAAGTGAACCCGGCGCCCGGCAGAGCACGGGGTTCGTCGAAGGTCACAACGGCGAAGGTCACAGGGGCGCGGTGGCCACAAGTGAACCCGGCGCCCGGCAGAGCGCGGGGTTCGTCGAAGGTCACAACAGCGAAGGTCACAGGAGCGCGGTGGCCACAAGTGAACCCGGCGCCCGGCAGAGCGCGGAGTTCGTCGAAGGTCACAACGGCGAAGGTCACAGGAGCGCGGTGGCCACAAGTGAACCCGTCGCCCGGCAGAGCGCGGGGTTCGTCGTCACGACGACTGTCAGCGCGAGTGAGCGCGCCCAGGTGACGTCATCCCCGACTGAGTGTGAATGAATGCCAGGAGGCTCGTCGTTCATACCAAGGGTTTGCTGAACAGCACGACCGAGTTTGATTTCCGGTGAGATTTCGAGCTTGAGAGCGACTTTAGTCTGGCGTCAAAATATTCACACGGGTGCAGTGTATGCGTCCCCTGTTACCTCGGTCACGCGAAATGTCTCAGGTCGGCTTCAAGTTTCGGTCAATAGCGGATTCAAGCCGAGGTGTTGTATGGACGAGCTTAAGACTGAGCAGGGAACCATTAGGAACTGGAGTAGGCTGTTGGCTTGATTTTCACTCGGAGCCCGATCGCGCTGACTTTGTTTGGCGATTAGCCTGCTCGGTTGTGACCCAGGTGGACGTTGATTGACGTGTTCAGCAGTGCTTTGAAACCGATACAAGCCGATGATCAAACGAGTGGGAACGATGCAAAATCAGGTATGGACCGGGCGACTTCGCAAAGGAAGCACACCCGACCAAAAGCTGACATGATTCCTGTGCGTACGAGCCCAAAGAAAAACCAAGCAGAGAATGAGCCCGATTAAATCCGGAGAAAGTCTCTCAATTTAGACGATTCACAGCCCACGTGAAAGTTAAGGAACAACCAAGATTTCCCGTTGATAAAAAAGAGAAGTTTAACTAGTAAAAAAATCTGAATTTAAGTCTTGCCCAGGTGGCAAATGCGAGCAAGCTGAAAACGACATCATACAAGAGCATGAGCAGGATCTGAGTCCGACTTACCGAACAAAAACAGTCACGACATCCTCATGTGAGCGTCGTATCGTAGTGGAGAATGGCAGGCGGGTCGCAGCGACCGAGGGATAACAGTAGCTCATGGCAATATCACAGTCTGTATAGCTATTCTGAAACTGTTTCATTGGACACCAAACATGTTACTCGGCATTTCCGGACTTACAAGTTATTTCCGGACTACGTTCGGGACGAACTCGTCTTTAACGCGACTGCGCCATGGGGTGACCTTAAAGTCCCGCGGGAAAAGGTCGGTGGGATTTGCCTTTGTCGCGTTATCAGTTACAATGACTATGGAATTTCAATGACAATATTAGACACCTTCCATTGTTTGGTACCCTTTTGCATTTGGAGCATTTTCGACTTCGATGCGCCACGCGCCACATAAGACCTCGACTCTGACATAGTATGTCCAATGTGGACATTAGATGATGGCCATTCTGACAACCAGCAATCTTGGTAAAGTTAAGCACTTCGTTTATTTTTTTAGATTTGTTGTCACCAGATTAAATGCCGTTTATTCATTATGATAACGATATAAAATTATGACAGCAAAACCTGTGGAAGTTGGACTCCTAAGGGTTTTGCCTGTTTTCAGCGCTTTCAACAGATTCCTGTTGTCCTGTCCATGCACGCTTTAAGTCATATCAGTATCGCTCCAAAAGTTGACGTTCATGACATTAGGAAATCATACTCCATTCACGTTTACGGCTGCTTCGTCTTGATCTGCATGCCACACTGATCCCCGTCAATCTGGAGGATCGCTACAAACAACACAAAACAAAACAAAACAACCTTACAAGAATATTGCTTTGAGGAGATGGGACGGACAAGAAGTAAGCCTGAATGTAAGAAGTGAAGTAAGAAGTAAGAAGTAAGCCTGAAGTAAGAAGTAAGCCTGGAGTAAGAAGTAAGCCTGAAGTAAGCCTGAGAAGTAAGCCTAAAGTACACCTGAATAGAGGGAAAATGGAGGAAAAACCTGGTGGCAACTGTGTTGAGTTATGTTGCGTCAGGTTTGTTTGGCATCACGTCATCCACTGTAAGTCCTCACGCTTGCAAAAAGTGCAAGCACGTTGTTGTTGCACTTCCCATAATCTATATAGTGCCATTTCATTCACGTTCTTAAGATTTGGCATCATTTTCTTCAAGCTGATGGAACCGGGCCCAATCCCCAGTATATAAAGACATGGTGCCTCTCGTTATCATAATGAATAAAAGGCATCAAATCTGGTCACGACAAAACTCGTAACTATTTGTTTTCCATGGCTGCTTTGTGGGCTTAGTCAGCAGCAGACAACAGTTTTTGACAAACAAGGCAATGCAACGGTCGCGTGACACGGCACAGTTGCACGGGCAAGAGCGGGGAACTGTTGTTTGATCTTCCACATACGATCGGGCAGGCCGAAAGTGGAGTGACAACACTGTGACCACAGTAACAACAGTATGTGAAGTGAAACGTATTTTCATCAAAGTAATTCTCTCTGGGCGGTTGGGTCGGGTGCAATCCGTTTGAATTGCGTACCGTGGCGCCAACACGGCCATTACCTGCGCTGACCTTCAACGGTGACTGTTCTCCGTGACCTGACGTTTTCTCAATCCACAACAAAGTCAACAATGCTTGTAAATCGGCCAGAGCCAACATAAATTTACATGAACATAACGTAGGTACAGGGGTGTAGTCACCTATTCAGTTGGGGGAGGGGGGGGGGGGGCTTCCCCCAACATGGGTTTAAGCTCCACAGCTTTGGGAAGAAAGTGAACAAAGTTCGAGGAGAACCCTGTTTGTTGCCATATTTTGGGGACAGCTTGAGTCATTTTTCGCTGTTCAGCCACACGAACTCATTTTGCGAAACTACGCCCACCGTTAGCAGCCTGCGTAAAAGGATCCAAAATTCGACCACCAAAATCCAGTCGACCGTTCGGCCTAGTTATGACATCCCCCTTGGCAATGACGGAATGTATGGACTGGCCGGGTTCGGAGCGCGCACTTCTGGTGGACCAAGCTGTTCTGTCCGTCGCGGTCGGAGCGGCCGATGGCGTGCGATTTGTTTCATTCTGAGAAGCCTGGCGCCACACTGGGACTGGGCTTGGTTTTAAAAATGAAATGTCATATTAGTTGCGAATATTAGCCAAGCATCTGACAAACAGAAAACAATATGAGGCAATAAGTGGATGCTATTTTCCGTCTTATATCCCACATGGCGATAAGATGGACACGACGGACAGGAATTGACTGTTGCAAGGGACTTTCTTACGGCCTCGTGGCCACCATGCATGCAGAGCGAAAAGACAACCGCATTCTAAATTTTTCAAGGCTCCATTTCTCACAGGTGCATTCAGTAGAGTTCGCCTGGTCGTTCCGATACGCTGTAAAGACCCAAGCTTCGCAGTTCAGCTCCATTTCTCACAGGTGCATTCAGTAGAGTTCGCTTCGTCGTTCCGATACGCAGTAAAGACCCAAGCTTCGCAGTTCACATATGTATCATCTCTCACATCAATTGCTTCACTACGCCCATTACAAACGTTTCCAGAATGGGTCCGGATCTTCTCCTACGCCTCTGTCCAAAACTGCGCACAGCCACACAAGCTGTTTTTTTCGTCCTCGCTTATCGACTATTCGAAGTGCGCAGCAACGGCGGTCCTATGGTGCGCAGCCACAGCCGTCCTACGGTGCGCAGGGACAGCGGTCCTATGGCGCGAAGCGACAGCGGTCCTATGGTGCGCAGGGACAGCAGTCCTATGGTGCGCAGCGACAGCGGTCCTATGGTGCGCAGCCACAGCCGTCCTACGGTGTGCAGGGACGGCGGTCCTATGGCGCGAAGCGACAGCGGTCCTATGGTGCGCAGCAACAGCAGCCCTATGGTGCACAGCGACAGCCGTCCTATGGTGCTCAGCGGCACCACTGCCGCTGCCGGCCGCCCACGCCGCTCGTCCCTCTGCGGAGAAGCCTCCTGCGTCGTTCCCGACGGTGCACCGCGGTCGGAGCGATGCCGTTGTTCGACCCGTCCCGCCTGGCTGCGCGCTCTGATGACGTCACTGCCGCCATTTCCGGAAAGTGGGAGCGGGGCGGCCGGTCACCTGGCGCGAAGGCTCTGATTCTCAGAGACCAGGAGACCACCCGGGGGGGGGGGGGCAGTATATATATATATATATATATATATATATATATATATATATCAGGAGACTGCTTTGAGGGAACGGGTGGATAAGCTTGGGAGGCCAGAGAGATCTCTTTTGAGATGTGGGAGACCGCTCCAGGGAGACAGCTCAGAGGACCCAGGTAGAGAGTTGGATGAGACGAGAGAGACCGCTCAGGGGACCAGGGAGAGCGCCTGTTGGGGCTAGGCAAGTTCTTGCCCAGACTGCTGTCCGGACATGGAGTTCGTTCACCGAACTCAGCAGCTGATTGCCCAACAGGCGAAAGTTGTACACCGCCACACGCACATACCAGGCTCAGTGCGGGCAGCATGCGTGAGTTCCCGATCCACGTGTTTTACATTCATGACGCTCGGGACGGGCTTGGCCGCCCGCTCAGCACTAATACCGAAGCAGATGTCGACAGATGGGAACGATGATCATGCGCAAAGCCTTTTGCGTTCGGAAAACTGGTTATCCGCGGTTACGAGGAGCAGTCCGGAGAGGCGCGATGCGGGGGTCCGATAAAGTGACGATAAAAAGGAGGGCGGGGACGGCCAACGCCGCTCTGTTGGTGAGCAAACCTCCACGTATTTCGTGTGATGGCCTGCATTGCATGCTGAGTTGTTACAGCGCATCATGGCCCTTGTGTAAGGTGACAGAGGTCGTCTTGTTCCTGGAGATATAACTTGACGTTATGCATGTCGTACGCGTCGGCGTAATCTGGAATTTCGAGACGGAAAAACTGGGCGTTCCAAGACATGGGACGCCCAGAAGGCCCAGCCCATGGCTTTCCATTTAACTGTTGCAAGATTGCCGTAGTGTCATGTGCCTTCACCTTATGGGAAAGAGTTCACTGCACGTAATCCTCATGCGTCGACCACGTGGTTCTCAATCATTTCAAGCACGCGATTCATTCCGAGTACGTTCTCGGAAGATTGCCGGTACCTCCGAGCATGCGCCGGCGGACGCCGCGGCCAGCAGCGGCGATCAGAGAGCCATCAGTGTCTTGATAAGGGAGGCCATGAGGGAGACCTTCCGTGAACAGTTCTCGTTTCAAGGACGGAGGTGCAACAGCGCGCACGTTTTGGACAAATACAAAACAATGCAGCATCTTGTGCTGCAAGTGCCGCAAAACGCGTGCCTTGTGGTAGACGTCACGATGTCATGATGTTTAGATATCACCATTCAGACAAGTGAGACAAGCACCCTGTGTCGACAAGTAGATTGTAGCAAACGGGGAAGCTGTTGGTCACACATCAGCAAACTGTTTGAAGAAGTTTCTCTTATTTTTCTATTGTCTCTGAGCGCTGTGTGTTAAGCTATAACAAATGTCAAATTTAAAAAAAAAATAATGGATCTTTCCTTTTTTGGGTAGGTCTTAACGACTTGTAGAACTAACTGCTCTAACTTAGAAACGTCTCAGAACTAGGTGGCCGACATCTGAAGAGTTAGAGCGGCTAATTCTATCCTATGAGGCGAAAACGTATCACAACAGCATTCATCATTTATTTGAGCATCAGACGTACGACGGTTACACTAAACATTATGTACTCGATGTATTCAAGCTGTACTTAAAGCCCCAATGCGCTTGTGGTGTTCCATGAATTGGTCTATTTCTGTTAGGCAATATTACCGTTTCTGAAAACGCTCGTGGCCTCAATTGCATTTCAAGGGGCGCCCAACGTTTACAGTCAGGTAGCGTAGTGATGATCATGTTGCAAATATCATATGAAACGCCGTCCGCGTTACGTGGAGCACCTAACCTTACCTCAAATGCCAGGTTACGCTAAACGCCTACGACATGCATGCACACGGTGCTTGCCCACATTGCTCGGAGCGCTCCCTCCACGCCGCCGACCACGCGACCCGATGATGTCAGACCGGCTCGGGACCGCAGCCTTCAGCTCAGCAGGGCAAAATGCCGACCCCCGGCCGAAGTGCTGAGCACCGCTCGCCGAACCGGGCTTCGCGGGGCGAGATCGACCGATCTCCGGAAGCTCTCCGCCCGTGGGTGGTGCAAATACCGACCCCGGCCGAAGTGCTGAGCACCGCTCGCCGAACCGGGCTTCGCGGGGCGAGATCGGCCGATCGCCGGAAGCTCTCCGCCCGTGAGTGGTGCAAATACCGACCCCGGCCGAAGTGCTGAGCGCTGCTCGCCGAACCGGGCTTCGTGGAGCGAGATCGGCCGATCTCCGGAAGCTCTCCGCCCGTGAGTGGTGCAAATGCCGACCTCACCTCGCTGCGAGGTCAGCCCACCGGGGCTCTGACCCAGAGCGGTGCGCTCCTGACGTGCGTGCGGGAGACGCGAGGGAGGGGGGGGGGGGGGCGGCAGCTCATCAGCGCCACGGGCTGACGAGGAATCGGCCGGGTTTCCCAGTGAAGCACGCCGCGCCGCGTGGCCGCCAGACCTCGCCACGTAGCATGGGAAAGACCGGTCTGGGAAAGAGCTGGTCACTGCTGTTGGCTCGAAGCCCTGCTCCAGTGGCTTAGATGCCTGGGAATGTAGCGTCGTTGTACTCCACACGGCTGCGGGGGGGGGGGGGAGATTGTATGAAGCGCTGAATCGCCAAACATTCCTTTACACTTCGGACTATTTACATGAAGGGTATGAAGGGTACGTACGTTACCAATTAGTAAATATACTTATAGGTCCCGTCACAGCTGATGTGCATCGTCATTCTTCAAACAGCCACTTAATACGTAGTAGACGTCTGCAGACTTTGGCACTTCGTGAAAAGTGAACCTGCAATTGCTTCGAGCATTGAACACTAGCGAACGTCTGTGAGGAATTTTTGACATGTCTCGCACACTTTCTCGCGGGTAAAGCAGCTTATCCCCGCAGCTTGACGCCACGTAACATTGGCTTGCTCTACGCAAATGTCTGTTGATCATCGGGTTCGGCACCTGGAGTGTGTGCTTTCCAGCTAGGCATGCAGCGCCGGCGAGTACCGCAATACATGTGAGCGTGCCTCGAGATGAAGAACAGCTTCCTCGGGCAGGTGTGGCGGCCAGCTTCATCGCTGTGGCGCTCGTTTCGTGGCGTTTGTACTCTGCATCGACTTGGAACAGATTCATCTGCCTGACAACCAACTCCTTCCATAGCAAATAGACCGTTCTCGTCGTAAGTAACGCCGACGCGTTCAAAGGTCCGGTTGGTCTTATCCGGCTCCACCAATGCCATCTTCCTCCCAGCGTCCTCTCTGTCTTGCCGAGTCGCTGCTTTTAGCTGCTTCCGCTTCCGATCGATCACGGCTGCCGGTTCAGGCCTCCCGCCACCCCATGACAAACGCCGCTTTGTTTGTACACGGTTTTGTTTTATTTATGATGGTACACCAGCACGATATAACCAATCGAGTTCGACGCCTCAGCCACTGCTCTAAGCGGGAGATCTAGTCCATTCTATGTACACAGAGACAGGGGCGGGCGGGCGGGGCGGTCCATGACCGGGTCAGAGGTCTGCCCCCTCCCCACACGCCGCCAGTCACGGCACTTCGGCCGCCACAACTCCTGTAACAAAACCATAAAGCGATATATGTATACAGTGCGAACGACCAAACCGCGACAGCTACGACTTGTGGATTCACCGAGAAGACGACACACACGCACACGCACACACGGCGGGGCCGATCGCTTGCACAGGCGCGCCCGCCGGACAGTGCCGGGACACTGCCGACGGCAGCGCGCCAGAATGAATGCCCTGCAGCCCGGCTGACCCGGGCCACTCCCCGCCTGTACAAAATCACGCGCGCCCGCTGCGCGCTCACAGCACGCGCCTTAAAGCCTCGCGCCGGCCAGCCGCCGGCCGCGCGCCCAACACGTATGCTACACTGGTCCTCCGCCAACACAGCCGCCGCACCTTAACATAAATACGCCGATAATTTTGGTCTCCTCGCGTGCACGCGCGCCGCATATTTGTACTCGCCGACTGGCTCCACTGACCAACAGTTCAAAGACAACAAATGAAAGTGACTCGAGTCGCCCGGTGGGGCGGGACACGCGCCGCTCGCAGCGGCCGACCTTACACCGCCTCCAGCGACACGCGTGGGCTCATCTTCTTGGAGAGGTTGAGCGGCTGGACTTCGGTGAGATCGGTGGGGGCCGCCGCCGGGCTGCTGGCGGGGGGCGGGCTCACGCGCCGCGCATCGGACGGCGACGGGCTGTGGGCCGGCGCCGGCGCCGGTGAGAGCCGCGGCGGCGCGATCGTCACCGGCGCCGGCGACGCGCGCACGTGGTGCGGCGGCATCGGCGGCGCCGCCACGGCCACGTGCGTGGGCTGGCGCGCCGCCGCGCGGTACGGACAGCCGGCCGGCGCGGGCGCCGGTGCCGGCGGCGGTGGCGGAGGCGGCGGGGGCACCGGCGCGCCGCCCAGCCCGGCGTGCATGCTCAGCAGGTGCGCCACAGCCTCGCGCTGTCGGATCTGCTCTGCACTCCAGCCTCGCTGCGGCGGCGCGCCGAGGATGCGGCTCAGCGTGGGCGTGCGCGACGCCTTCTCCTCGTCACCCATCTCATCAGACGACTCGGTCGGCTCGGCGTCGTTCTCGCGGCGCATCCAGCGGAACTTCTTGTGCGGCACGAAGGCTGTCTCGACGAGCGCGCGGCCGCCGGCGTCCGCCACGGCCAGGCTCGGCTTGGAGAGCGCCTGCTTCAGCAGCGGCATGTACTCGTCCGACTCGGCCTTGACGAACGGCTCGCCGCCGCGCTCGTCGAACAGGCTGCGCGGCGACGAGCAGGGGCTGGCCGGCCCGCTGGCCGACGGGCATGGGCTGGCGTCGCGCGCCGCCGGGCTCTCAGCCTTGCGCTTGAGCGGCGGCGGCCGCGGCTGCAGCGCCGCCACCAGGTGCGGGTGCGAGGCGGCCGCCGAGCCGCCGGCCGGCGCGTCCGGCGAGGGCGACGAGTCGGTGTGCCGCCCGGCCGGTGACTGCACGCTGCCCTCCTCGCTGCCCACGTAGCCGGAGCTGAGACTGTGCGGCGAGTGGTTCGTCTCGCGCACGGCGTCGGTCGGCCAGGCAGGCGAGCCGGCCGGCGCCGCCGGCCGCTGCCGCTCCTCGGCCGGCCGCTGCCGCTCCTCCGGCTCCTTCAGCGAGCGGATCATGTCCGAGTGCAGCGTGTTGAGCGTCTTCAGATCGTGCACCTTACGCGCCAGCTGGTCGTACAGGTCGGGCGTCTGCGGATGGTTCTGCGCCAGCACCGCGCGCAGCGCAGCGTCCATCTTGTGGTGGATGCGGCCGATCAGCTCCAGGTTGCGCAGGCCGGGCCGCTCGGTGGTCAGCACCACGCATGCGCAGAACAGGCCAATCTCGGCGTCGCTGAGGCGCAGCGCGTTCAGCTGTTGGGCGAAGCTGAACATGGAGTCGAGCAGGAATTTGGGTTGCGAGCCGGCTGGGAACGCGTCCCGTCGCACCAGCTGACCGTTCAGGCATGCCGCCGTATTCGTCTGCAACAAATGGAGACGACTGTGAGTGTACTGCGCACAAAAACCACTGCCTTCGCAGAAGACACGACACGTCTTATAAGACATCACGTAAATCCCACTTCTGCACTACCCCACATCAGCCCGCTCCTTGTTGCAGCCTGTATCACTCCAGTATCAACACAAAGTCCCCGTTGTGGGGGCACTGCAATCGTCAACGCCGCGGTAAGAGTCCAATAAAGAGTGCAGCCGCCGGTCAGCGTCCGCCCGCCCGCAGTCAAGGTCAGCCCCCCCCCCCGCCCCCTTCCGACAAAGGCGCAGCGACATGGCCGCTGACCTTGGACCTCGCCACTGCAGCGCCGCGACATTCCAGCAGCGCATGGCCCGGGCAGTGATCCACCCCCGGCGGGGAGGGAGACGCGGCGGTGACAGGGGTCGGCCAGCGCCCACCAGCCCTCGAACAGGACCGGCACATCGGCTGACGCCAGTGTCGGCCCGCCGGGTTCGCTTCGAGATTCTTTTATACCGAGAGGGGGACGGGGTCGATTATCGAACATCCCACATGCTGCCTGCACCCGTGGTGTGCGACAAGTAAGGTCACCAGCGCAGCCTCTCGAGGCGTTCGATCGCTGTGAGCAGGCCCCAGCCTGGGAACGGCCCACTACGACATTCCCGGGTGACTGGATGCCGAGGCGCCTCCACGAACACCTCTGCACGTCAGCAGTTGGTCGCCCCACCCCGCCCGTCGTAGGCCACCCCCCCCCCCCCCGTGCAGTCCGCGGTCGCTTCCTGGTCACCACCTGACAGCGCGCGGCCTGAATCGCCGCCCTCGACTTTCCGCGCGGGCCTCGCCGCGGAAACGCTGCAATCGGCGGGATTTTTGCGGGACGTGGGGGGAGGCTATCGCCGAGCGAGGCCACAGGCTATTTCTGCCGCGGCGCGGGGGCACCGCGGCGGGCGCACATGGACGCGGGTGGGGGGCTGTCCGGGTCCGCCGGCGCCCGGGGAGCGCTCCGGCCGCTCTCAGTGCGCGGGCGGCCCAGTTGGCTCGCGCCGGCTCCAGATGTGGTGCGAAGGTCGTGTCGCGGCCCCGCCTGCCAGCCAGCCGCCCAGCCGTGATTGACAGTCCGCAGGTGGTGCCGCACCGTTGCAGGGTGACCTCGAGGTGCTGTTTGCCCCCCCCCCCCTCCCAACCTGCTCGGTGCCAGCGGGAGGCCGAATCGCTCGTGCCTCCGCAGCCTCTGCCGGCCGACCCAGCGCGACGAGGCGACACCACTCCCCGGCCCCGGCCAGCCAGTGCTTGTCAGCCCTCCGTGTTCGCGAAGCGCGGCGCAGCACACCCGCAGCTCGGGCCTAGGCTCACCTTGCTGTCAAACATGCAGGCGAGCCAGACCAGCAGCACCTCGAACACGCTCGACTTGAGCAGAGTGACGCGGTCCTCCTCGGGCAGGCGCAGGAAGCCGGGCAGCTGCTTGGCGAAGTCCACCACGGCTTTGATGTGCGGCCCGAACAGCTGCGAGTCGCGCAAGCGCCCGTCGACGCCGACGATGCGCGGGCTCAGCGGGCACGCCTGCAACGGGAGAGACGGCGGTCAGGTCAGGTCAGGTCAGGTCGAGTCGTGGCCTGTGGACTGGGGTGTCCCATGGCGGTCACTGCAGGGCGGCGCCGGTGGTTGTGGGCTTGGGGGTTGAGCGAAATAGATGTTGCCTTTCTCAGATAGGTCGACACACGTCAGGGAACGTAGGCTGTTTGCACAGGTCACCAAGGGTCAATTCTGGCGACCTGGGATCACACCAGGGGTCAGTTCAGGTCACCTTGAGGTAGTTCAGGACGGGCAGGCCCAAGCAACGCAGCTGCGGCCTGCGCCGGACACACCAACTCTCGCGGCGCCCAGTGATGCCCCCCCCCCCCCGAACTCCTCTCCGATCATCCCCGCCGCCTGCCGTGACTGAAGACGGACGGGGGGCCGCTGGCGGCGCGTAGGCGAGCCGTCGGCGCCGTTTCCGCGAATCGCTGATGCCATCGGCTCGCGAGCCCAAGGTCACCGTCAATCGGCGCGCGGAAATGCCCGCGTTTTGGCGCGCCGGCGCGCCGGCGCCCGCTCAAAGCCCGGCCTGTTTGCAGCCTCAAGGTCCCGGCTGGCCGGTCCTAACGGACCGCCGATGCGCCGGCTCATTGTTTGTTCAGCACGCGGTGACCTTTGGCGCGCGCCCGGCCGCTGCCTCGTCACAGAGCCGCCGTTTTTGTCGCACCGGCCGGCAAACAAGCGCTACAGGCGCTCAGGTGGTGGTCACCCGCCAGAGAAGCCACACTTCCGCGGCCTGCCGCCGCACGAGCACCGCTGAGGGACGGGGGACGGCCGACGGCGGACGGCTGCACGTGCCGGGCGGCCGGCCGGCCCGGGAAGACCCCCGTCTCGGCGGTCGCGCGTCCGGTGCACAGTTTCGCCAAAGCCTCCGTTTCATAAGAGCGCAAGGTTCCCTGAAGGTCACCGCCAGTGAAAACATGTTTACAATTGATCGGTCGGCTAACTGCGCCTGTTGATTCGGCGACTCGCGTATCTTGCGTCGGTCGTTCGGCGTGCGCGCGGCGAACTTTGGCCGCAGGGCAGGCGTCGAGCCGGCGCCGCGCGCCGACGCCGGCTGGCTCGCGTTCATACCGAGCGGCGAGCGCGCGCCGACGCCGCCCGCTCTTTCCGGACGGCCATCGATTGGCTGGCCGACCCGAACCTGCGCATCGACGTCGTCTGCTTTCGTAACGTGACCTTGGCCTTTCCACCGCGTCGCGCGCGATCGATGTCCGCCCGGCACGAAATAGCTCCGCCCGGCGAGCCAGGCTCCGGCGCCGGTGAACCCATGGCAGCGCGCGCCAGACGGGGGACCGGGCCGGGGGCGCGCGCCGCGAGCGGGGTGAACAGAAGGGGGGCGGAGAGGGGGGGGGGGGGCCGACAGCGGCGGCAGCAGCGGACCGTGCGGCTGTGCCTGCCGCTGCCAATGCGGCGACCCTGGGGTCGGCTGAAATAGCCGATCCCAGGACCAGAAATACAGCGGGGACGGAGCCGGAGACGTCCCCGCGGTCGCGTCTCGCCGCCGCTCCAGTCACAAGTGTCACCCAAGGTCAGGCGCGTCTACCCCGCGACCTTGATGCCGTCGCCAGCCTTGGCTGGTTTCCGCCGCATTCAATAGGGGTGCGAAGGGGGGCGGTCGTCTGGCCGGCGCGAGGGGAGCTGTCTGGCGGGCCAGGTGTCCGCGCCGCACCAAAGCCCGGCCGACTTGCGATAATGGTCGTCTGGCCCGCTCTTTGAGCCGCCCGCGCCACTTCGGAGCTCGCGGCCCGACGCCAGACGCAACCACGTGCGCCCCGCACCCCTCCGCCGATCGCGGCGTTTCAGCGTTTTGGCGGACTTATCAGCAGCGCGAAGGTCGCGCGTCAAAGGGGCCCACATGGCAGCCTGCCAAGGTCAGCTGTGACGTCACCGGGGCGGCGGGCGGCGCGTGTTTCGTCACTCGGGACGTCCGGACGGGCGGGGGCGACGGCCGCGCCTCTGCGCGCCTTGACGGGGCCGCCGACAGACCGACTGGCAAGCCGAAGCACGTGCCACCGGCTCCACGCCGGCCGGCCGGCCGCTAGCAGCGCGCCATGGGCGCAGATGGGCGGCCGGGCCGCTACGCCGCTACGTGCCAACGCAGCGCAAGGTCATGAAAGGTCACGTGAGGTCAGGGGTCAAGCGTGGGATGTGCTGAGGTCGTTGGCCCGGCACATGCCTGATGTTGGGGATGGCGGGGCAATTGACGCGGTTACGGGGGAGAGGGGGCAATTGACGCGGTTACGGGGGGAGGGGGCAATGGACGTGGTTACGCAAGAACACGTGTGGAGGCTTCCAGTTGCAACACCGGTTGCGAAATACGGAAGGAAGTCCGTGGTTGCAGAAGACACTGGGGGTTCCTCAGGGACGTTTAGTACCCTGTATACCTAATACGTGCAGCTAAAATTACTGAATGGACCAGTGGCACTTCTCGCCCGTGGAGGGCAGTGACAATTCGCCAATGACTGTCAGCAATAATTCGCATCGATGCAATCAACGTTATCTCAATGCTCATCTCTATGCAGAACCACCCATCATCTCCATCCCCAGCATACCACCGGTGACTGCTCGTAGCCATGAACATCAGCCCCCCCTCCCCCGCCCACAGGCAGCCGGAAGGTACTCACATAGCCGGAGGTATTGTGGCTGTAGCTGGGCGCCTGGCGCGCTGCCTGCAGCATGGCGCCCACCTTGGCCCACGTGAAGTCGCACGACTCCAGGTGCGCCTGCACGATGATGCGGACCAGCTTGCCATCGTCCTCCAGCTCAGAGAGAAAGGCGCGCTCCTGGTACTTCTGGTTCACCGACTGCATGGCCGCCAGGATCTTGGCCTTCTCGCGCTTCGGCACGCGTCCGAACCGGACCGCTGCAAGGAGAGGAGGCGGGCTGTCAGGCATGCACACACGCACACATGACCACCGGCCCGCGCGCTGAGAGTGGACGCACGCAGGGAGCACTATCCGGCGCAACGGTCGGATCCAAGGCGTCCCGCCTCCTCCGAATTCGGTTGATGAGAGGTGGATGTGGAGTCAGACGCGCGCCCCACCTCACAAGCACGCGCGCACACGGCTAACACGCCCGGCCGTCGCAAGAGAGCCACGCCGTCACGCACGCAGTCACGCGCGCACCGACGCTGACGCAGACATCTCACACGACACCGAACCCCACTCCCACACGGGACCGGCCCCGCCGACACCGGTCGGCGCTCCACAGCCGCCACCACTTACACGAGTACCGACTTCCGGTCTGGTCCTGCAGGATGCCTTTGAGGATGGGCAGGTCGTTGGAGATATCCATGGCGGTGGCCGGGCACGGTCACGAGGTCACCGGGTCAAGCGCACGAGCGCCGCGGGCCAGCGTCGCCTGCACTGTGCGGCCGCTCCGCCTCTGCCGCGCCGCGCCGAGCAACTGCGCGCGGCCGCCGCCGCCCGGCCGTCTAACCTTGAAACCGGCGCCGGCGGCCGCGCGCTCGTCAATAGTGGCGCGCGTACGGCGGGGAGACGGCTGCTCGGCCGGCCCGTGTACAATCGCTGACCCAGATTGGCGGGCGGCCGCCCCCTCGCGCACAACTGGGACACCCCCGCAGGTCGCCGAGAAACCGGCGTGTTTGCGAGACCGTGGGAGGCGCGGGGCGGGGCGAGAGGACGGGGGGGGGGGGGGGGGGGTTCGGGGCCGGACAGGCGCCCTTGATGTCGCGGGGTGGCAGGGCCGCGCGTCCTGGTTCGACAGGCCATCCTTCCGGGTTGTCCGGAGGGCGGGACGGAGTGACCGAGGACAGCCGTGCGCCGCGGAAGCGCGCCTGGAGGTCCTCGCACGCCGCGCGCCGCTGCACGACGATGTCTTTGTGTGCCACTGTGCAGTCGCCGGCCGCGCCGACCGTACCGCGGGGCTCGCCGGGCCGTTGGGGGCACAGCCGTTGAGAGCGCGACCGTTGGGAGCACGGCCGCTGGGAGCGCGGCCGTTGGGAGTGCGGCCGTTAAGAGCACGGCCGTTGGGAGTGCGGCAGCTGGGAGCACGGCCGTTGGGAACACGGCTGTTGAGCCTGCAGGCCCGCAGAGCACGGTCTGCACCAAGGGGCAGCCGCCACAACCAGCACGAGGGCGGGAGACGGTCTTGGCACGGCTCCGGCCAGAACGCGGACAAGGACCGGTGCGAGCCCGAGCCAGCCACTCGTCCGCTGGCGCCGCTGCAGCGGTACCCGTCCGCCGTATCGCCTCAGTGCCCTGCACCCGTACCGGCCGTCGCCATCCGGGCTAGCAATATACCTAACGGCCCGCTTCACGGCGGCAGCGGTGACGGGCGCGCGGACCGCACCGAGGTCACAGTTTTTGCCGGCGCCGCGTCCTTCACCGGGCAGCTACCGCCAAGGCAGGCAGGCAGGCAGGCAGGCAGGCAGGCAGGCGGGCGGGCGGGCGGGCGGCGGACGGCCGCTTCCGCGTCGAGGTCAAACACCCCCTCCCTTCCGGGTCGTCCGACGGCCGGCGGAAGGGGCGCGGGGTCAGAGGGGCAGCGGGCCGCCGGGGCACTGGGCGACCGCCACGCCCAGGAAATGGACCCTGCATGAGCGAGCGCATGGGCGGATGCTGCCGCGCGGCTGGGCAAACACCGGAAACAGCGCGGTGCGGGCGCGGCACGGGTGTGAGGACGCCGCACTGACCCCCTCCCGCGCACGCTCGGGTCACCGACTCCACTCACCCTTCTCCGTATATCCCATCGCGCCGCGCTGTCCCGTCCTCTCCGTGTCGCTCGCTCGTCGTCACGCCCCTCCTCTCACACAGCTAACGTGGCGCGGGCGGCGGCCGGCGAGAGCGTCGGACCAGGTGCGACCGTCGCGGCGTCTCGGCACCGTTCCACTGGCGGGACCGGTGCCGCGGCGCCGGTCGCGGCGATCGCGTACGCGGCCCGGCCGTGACGTCACAGAACTGGGGCGCGCGCCGCCGCCGTGACCCCGTAACCCGGGTTCGTTCACCCGGCCGGCCGGCCGGCGCTGAGTCAGAGTCAGAGTCAGAGCCGGGCCGGGCCGGCCGCCGAGTGGCCCATGGCGTGGCTGAGGGGAGGGTGGGGCGGGGTGGGGTGGGGGGCATGGTATGATTCGTGGCTCGGTGGCTCGTAACATGGACGCACTGGGCGGTCCAGCGCGTGCGGTTGGCATCGCCTGGCCGGTCACTCTGAGCGGCTCAGTGGCGGAGTCGCTCAGGGTGCGGTGGCTCCTGTCGTATGGCGCCTGTTGTGAGGCTCAGGGAGTGGTGACTCATACCGCACCATGCCACACCATGGAAGCCACATGGGGCGACATGGTGCGGGAGTGGCGAGATCGAGCCCCGATTTCCTAGTTCGCTGCACGCTCCCGGTGATCAGCAGCAGGTTCAACGGGTCGCTGCAGGATTGGGCAAGGTCACAATCTATCACTTGTCGATAGCAGACCTTCTCTGAGACCGTGTATCTTTGTCAATGGTACACCGTACACTTTTGAGTGCAGTTTCAATTTCGAATGAAAGCCAAAACATATGAAACAAAAATTACTATTTTTCGTCCGACTTGTCGTATTCAGGTGAGTTTTGAACTTGGTGATTACAAAATTTACCATAAATAAGTTTTAAAAATTACTCATAATTCTAAACTCAACTGAAAAAGGCGTATCTTCAGCGACTATTACTGTTTGTTTATTGTCTTTCATTTGAGTTTGGTACTGCAGTCAAGAGTGCGCGGCATGATGCCACACATGGCTTACCGTTAATCCGCCCCGCCGGACACATACACAGCGCCGGTTTATCCGGCTGGACTAATCAGCTGAGCATTCGGTGAACCCCGCCCCTGCGGCGCCGCCCCTTCCAGCCGGGCGCCGGCGCCGCTGGGCCGTCTGACGGGCCAGTCAGGACCGGGATCGGCAGCGGCAGCAGCAGCAGCAGCAGCGGCAACGGTCGCCGGCGGCGGGACAGGTGGCCCGGTCATGACGACGGCGACCGCAGGACCGCCCCTCTCCGGGGACGGGGCGCCGCTAATGACAGGCGGGACGCCCCGTCTCCTCAGTGCACCGCCGACGTAACGGTGCAGCGACGGGGGCTTCGACCTCTCCTGCTGCCGCCGCGCGGCGGAAACCCTTCCCCCTCGGAATGCACGGGGCGGCGGCTATTTCCGGCGCCAGGCCAGGTCACTGACCCGCATCGTCGGAAGTGTGCGCACCTGGGCCGGCGGCGGTGCGGCCGGCGTCACTGGGGTTCCCGTGAGTGGGCGGGCGGCGGGGTACGGGGAACGGCCTCGATAGCCGGGCGCTGACCCGGGCGCCGATCGATCCACCGATCCCCTCCCCTGCAGATATCCGGCGTCGCGGCCGGTCACGTCAGCCACGCTGCATGGGGCAAGCCGTTTGGAAGAGCGCCAGCGGCCTGGCCGGAGACTGATGGGTGCGGCAGGGCTGGCGCGGATGAGTGCGGCAGGATCAGACAGGCGCCGGGTCGCTGAATCCGACTCACCGTCGCGACTCATGCCGACCGTGATGCATTTCTTCAGCCGACAGTACTGACACCGGTTGCGGTTTATCCGCAGGATGGAGCAGTTTTGGTTCTTGGTGCACGGCTTGTACTGGATCTTCTGCTGAATTGAGCGGCGGAAGAACCCCTGAAACCCGATAAAAACGGTCACACACGTGATACAGGACCGGTCGAGCCGCGAGCGTCATGCAAAAAAGGTGCCACAAGACCAGGGACTGCCAGACACCACCACACGACTCCAGGCTCATCCGCCGGGCTCGTGACATGAGACGGACCACGGGGACGGTTGCGTGTGTGAGCCCGACTTTGCCGGCAGGAGATGGGCGGCTTTGGACGGCCGTCTGCCGGGGTGTTTGACCCCGGCCGTCGCCGCGAGACGAGCGGCGCCCCGGCCGGCGCCTCGGCGGTAAAACCGTTCCGCCCGCGCGCGCCGCCGCTAACGGTCCGGACGCAAACAAAAACAGCGTCGGTGGCGCCGCTTCCCACGTCGGCCGCTGCCGGGCGGCGCCGTCGGCCGCCGCGGCGCCGCCCGCCCGACCCAGATCGCGCACGGCGAGGTCAGCCGACAGCGAGAGTGCGCGTGCCGGCCGCGGCGCGCGGCGGCACAGTTCGGCTAACTGGGCTACGCGGCGACCCGGAGCGGCGCGCCGAACTGACCCGCCGTCGACAGGCCGAGTGACCCACACTGACACCCGTGGCGGCGGCGGCGGCGGCGGCCGGGTGCTCTGCACCGGGGCGTCTGTCCGGCCGGCCCGGCCGCCCAGCCCAGCGGCCGACCCTGCGCCGGTGCCGCCCCGGCGCCGCACTGGGCAGCCGCTGGGCGGCGAGCCGGCTGCTGGCTCCTGATCGACTGCGTACACTCAGCGCAATATATCCTGAATCCTGAATCAACGGTACTCAGACTGAAAGGCAACAACGCGACGATGGGCTCCACAATAGTTGACCCGTGCCCAGTACAGACCTGACGCCTGTGGCTAAATCGTTCTACATCAATGCGTGAACGGGCAAGGAAGCTTCGGGGCCTGCAAGACTGCTCGGTGAATCAACAACTGCAGGTTGTACACACGTACTGCGGTAAAAGTGCTAAGTTACTGCAATCGGGCTGGATGTATCACCGCTCAGCTCCCGCTGTTGAACATCGTAAGCCCGACACTACCACAACAATTCCGCCCGACACACCCGGAAATGGCGAGACGCATGAAATGAAGTGGAATCAAATGGTGAGACGCAACCCGGCAAGGACCACTGAATGCACTTTGAGAGGACCACACGGGCGGAGAACGCAAAGCTTCAGCTACAGCGGGATATATCTGACCATCACTTCATCTGAAACATCTGCTGACAGAACATTTCCGGACACGTGCCGACGCCGCCCACCGCCGGACGGCGTCCATCCCGCGGCCTCACTGTCACCCTGTCAACAGCGTAGCGGTCGGCCGAGGGCCCAAGGCTACGCCAGCAAAAAGCCTATGCTAATGACCCCGGCGTGGCCGAGCCCAGCAACGCGATCGCCCGGTGCAAAAACCCCGGCCGGGAACGCGGCTGCGGGCCGCCGGTGGACCGTGTCCGTCACGGACGGCCGCGCGGAGCGGGCGGCTCCCGAGGCGAGGGGCGACGGCGCGGGGCTATTCTGCGCGCGGGAACTGAAGCCCGTAGCTGTCCAGCGGCGTGTGATACCTGCGATACCATTAAGACGGCAGACCGGCGGCCGCGTGGGTCGATGCCCTTGACACTGTTCACCGTCGCCGCCAGCGCGACGCGACGGTGGCGCCGCCACACCCGACGGCGAGACCGGTGGCGCCATCTGCGACCGCACCGAGTCCGGGCCGTCTCGAGCGGGACGGAACAAAGATACACCCGGGCCGTGACCGGACACGGACATTTCACACGAGCGCGGCGCGAGAAAGGAACGGAGACACGGCGCTCAGAGCGTGCACGCCCAGCCGGTCTCGCGGGATGTTCTGATCAATCTTCCCTCCACTACACCGCACGGGCGAGCGCGGCCAGTCCCGACCCGAGCGCGCGGCCGGCGAGCGAGCCGCGGCCGACGGCTCCTCCGCGGCGCCGGTGAACGGCGCCCTTCATGGCCCGGCCGATTCATGGCCAGCGGAGGACACAGTGGCCGGGTTGAACGACTGGGCCGCGCTGGCCTTGGCGGCCGCTCGCCCGCCTCCTGTCGGCGGCGGCTGACGCTGACCCTGACAGGACGGGCGCGCTGCGGCCCTGCAGACCGCCAGCCGGACGCTCCGCAACGCGGAAATACAGCGGCCGGCCGGCGGGAGCCTGGCGACGCGCGAGGGCGGCCCGAGGAAGTGCCGAGCTGAGGCTGGGCGCGCAGCAGTGGAGCTGATGAGACGGTGCGCGAATCAGATGGACTGTTGGTAGCTCCGCCATAGGGATGGGTGGGGACTTGAACCAGCGGTCAAGCCACCCAAATTTGACGGAAGTGAACATCATGCCCATGACGTAGCATGCAAAGAAACATCCAACAACCTCGATGCTCATCCCACCTCGCCATATGCGATCGGGTCGACTTGCTATTTCGGGCACCACTACGGCAACACCTGTTCACGTTGGCTTACGAGCAATCTAGCCTCTCTACCCGAACTATTTCAGCCAAGCGATAGCCCTGAGCACGCACGGCCGTCCGAACACCCGCTAACCCAATGCCGGCAAACCGCTGGCAAGGCTACGTGCCGAGTCTGTTTCGGATTCTCGCCGGCACAGTGAACCAGGAACTGGTCAGCTTGCTCAACAGCACGCCGTTTTCCTCATGGCGGCCAATACTACGAACGGCTGACGCCTCAGCACTTCGCAACACATTCCCGCGAAAACAATGCCGACTCGCCGCAAAAATCGGCCCGTTCATCATTTGCTAGCGCGCTGCCCCCGGCGGGCCGACCAGCAGCGCCATGCAGCCGGCGCACTCGGGGTCGCGGGGCACGCAGCGGTGCCGTCCTGCACATGGTGCCGCATTCCGGCGCGGGCGCCCTGGGGGAGACGGCAGGACACTGACCTTGCATCCTTCACAGGAGTGGACGCCGTAGTGGAAGCCGGATGCCTTGTCTCCACACACCTGGCAGAGCACGGTGGTCCCATCGAAATCTGCAACGGAGGTGGTCAGACGTGAGACGGTGGTGACGGAAGTCCGGGAGCTCTGTCCGCTCGACCATACACAGCAACAGACGACATGTGACCGGGCGATGTGTCCGCTGCCTCCCAATAAAGGCGGAAATCCCATATTTGACAAAAACATTTGGGAGCTACGTGTATGGGATCACGCCCTATTCACAAACATGCACATTTTAGGACGACTCACGAAAGTTTTCTACCGTCAGGACACGTCATCGCTTGGATTAATATATATATATATATATATATATATATATATATATATATATATATATATATATATTTGGGGACGGGGCCCAAAGCGACACGCGTGGAATTCAGAACCTCTTCTTTTGTGGGGCGACAGGTATGATGTCGAATACTGAGGCGGGACGTTCAATCGCGCGAGATCCTGCGAGGACAACAATCCGGTGGGGAGAGATAAACAACGAATGTACTCCAGACAAGCCCCAAACGGCGAGCCCAGTCAGGCAAGTAAAGGTCAGGTCACGCACAGATGTCGAGCTGCCTGGATCTACTTTGAGATAAATTATCGAGAAGAACTTATAGGATCCACACGTTGCCTCATGAGCAAGAAGCAAGACAGCGGTGGCCAGCGTAAGACCAGAGAATACAAAATGCTGGTCTTTGCCGATCAAAACCCCACGCTGGTTTGACCAACAGAGATGCACCGACAAGACATTGATCCAATGTGACACAACAGTTGTGTAATTATGGGCTAAGGTCAGCGCGGCATCGGCCACACCACCTCTCCTCGAAACCAGCAGCCCAAGCACTGCCCTCCCGAAAAAGTCGCCCCAGCAGCTCGGCTGCACCAGCTTTCTGCGTCATTCCCAACCACGATCACACGGAATTTTCCAATCATTCGCGCTCTTCCTGAAGCTTGGCCTCAATGCTGGCGGCGCTCTCAAAGAGGGGGCTACCTCCCCTCTGCTTCAGCGCCAGCGGCGTTCTCAGAGGGGAGCCGATCTATTTCCGGAGCGGCGCAGGCGTTCACCCCTCGTCCGTTTTTGTGCGTGCGTTCACCTGCGTTACGCAGAGGGCGGCCGGCGCCGGCCGTTGAACCGCCATGGGAGGGGGGACAAACATTCACAGCGCTATTACCGCGATCGAACGCGCCTCGCCGACCAAAGCCGCGCCTCTGTGGGGCCGTATCGACCTGCTGGGCCCGGCCAATACATTGCAGCGCCCCGCTGGGCCAGCGGCGAGCGAGTCCAAGCCACGAGGCGCGGATCTGCGTCCGCTGAGAACGACATCTTGATGCGAATGCAGTCCATCACGTACGCATGCCTTCAACTCAGCCGAAGGCAGACGTCTGCACCGAGTGCCAGCCACCGCGTCCTGCTCGTACCTAGGGTGGGCGTGCTGCCGCGGAAGTCCGTCGTCGTGCTGGAGACGTAGCCGGCCGGCTCCGGACTGCACATCCTCTGCCGCACTGTTGCGCCCTCACACGCACCTCAGATCACAGCTCAGAGTCCCCTCCTACACGCCCGTCACCACGCACTCGCACACGGGAGCGGCAGCGCAGCCACTCGCGATAGTGAAAGTCGAAATGAGACTGCATGAAAATTTGCTATCTGCCAGCGTCGAGCCGGGCGGCAGGTGCCGGCGGCGGGCGGCGCGCGCTCCCATTGGTCGAGCCGGTGAGGAAGTCCATTGAACCAGAGGTTAGCCTTGATCTTGGCGGCGCGGCGCGCCGGCCGTCGCCGCGTCAGGTAGTTAGCGCACAGGGACCAAGGCTGCGTCGCCAGGAAGGGATCTGGAGGGCCTTGGACCCGGCGGCGACCGCGCGCCGCCGGGCTCGGGCGCGAACAACCCGTCCAAATATCGCTTCCGGCCGGCGGCACGGCCGCGCGCGGCGCCGAAACAGAAGGTCGTCACCTCGCCTCTTCCTGTTGTGCGCGGGCGGGGGGTGCCCTCGCGCGCGCGGAGGAGGCATCTGTTCCTCCATGGAGGACGCCGCTGGTGGATGTTTGAATTCGGTAGACGGCGTGATCTTCCGGGATGGGTATGAAACCGGGAAATGGGTGGAAACAGGCAGCTAGCTTGTTGTTGAAGACTTATGTTCACTGGACACATTCATTCTGTTTTTTTCCGGGGTGTGGTCTCAAAACACCATTCTGGTACAGGAATATGAACATGAGCGGGTCGATGTTGATGTTTGCGAAATAGAAGGTAAAAGGAAAATACATGGCTAAGCAGATACACAATCGGTTCATAAGGTCCGAAAAGACCCAAGAAAAAGCTAATATTAAATTTCTGTTTCGCGTATTCGTTTATTCACAAGGCAATGAAATAAAGTCACTATTTGAACTGCTAGTTGTCTCCGGCTTCAAATGACTGAAAAGTCAGGAGGTACTGACTGCTTTCTCAAGTGTCAGTCAGGAGGCACCGCTTCCTCAGGAGGCACTTCTTCCCCAGCAGTGCTTGCTCAGGGAAGCACTGCTTCCTCACGAGGCAAATACTCGAAAAATGTATCGGCGGCTTTTAAAACCCCAATTGCTACCCAAATAGAAAACTCCACAGGCTGCATGTCAAGTGTATACCAAACAGTACCAGGCCATACACCCACGACTACTTCAGCACTATTTGTTGACGCCTCGTGCCACGTGCCGCGAGCTGGGGGCCATCTGTCCGCCAGAGCCCCTCTCTCCGATGGCGGCGGCCTCTGCGCGCGTCCGCGCCTCGTGTCGAAATCAAAAGGCGCCCGCCTGCCGTGCAGCGCTCGAGTCTGCAGGGCCGTGTTGCACAAGGTCTGCAGTGGCGCCGCACGTGTGCCCCCGCCCCCTCCCCGCGGGGGGCAAGCGGCCGCGGGGGCTGACAAGGTACGCTGACCGGAGTGGGGAGGAGGGGACACGGGAGGAAAGGACGGGCAGCGGGGTCCCACGAGAGCGACGTCGGATCAGTGTAGGATGACGGTACCACAGACAGAGACGAGGCTCACGACCGAATGACAGACGCGGGACCAGCAGACTGAGAGTGACAAGACTCTGAGCTCCAGCCGTGACGAACCAGCCCCGGGTGACCGGCACGCCACCTCAGACCGGCCGTGGGCCACTGGCGGCGCCGGGCCCACCCGTCGCCCCCACGCCGCCACGCTTCGCACTACGCCGTCTGACGCGCGCTCAGCTTCGGCGTAGTGGCCTGACCTGACCCAGAGTCGGTGCGTCGTTCGGGCGTGGCGTTCGGCGAACCGGCCGGACCGGCGCGGTCGCGGCCGATGCGGCGCACACGGCATGACTCAGGCGGCGCTGGAGCGGCGCGGCCGCGCCGGGAACGCCGCGACCGCGCCGACTTGTCGACGGCCAACATGGCCCAGTCACGGGCGAGCGCGGCCATGTTTCATGACGCACACGGAACAGGTGAGTAGCAGGGAGTGAACACAACATATATTTAGACGGGTGTCATAGAGCTACTTCGTTCTGGGGTTTTCCCGGGTGCGAAAGATCTGACGGCCGTGCTCCGACAGACGCCACAATCGAACAAGCACAGTCTTTTGTCTGTACGCACTGCGCCCGACAGTTGTCCGTTACCACCCGGCAGTGAGATTGTTGAAGCGATGCAAAATAACAGGGTCTTGCCAGCCTAATTCTATCATCACGAGCGCGATCTTGATCGGGTGGCGTTCAGAGACCTCGTGCGTCGATTCGTGGTGAGGAGCGGACATGTAAGCACGTTTCACGACTGGAAACGTTCGCAACCAGCTCGGCGTTTCATAATCCCGCCACCCGCCCGCAAGAGGCTGCCTTCAGGGGCACCCGGAAAACCTTCGCTGACGCTCGGCGATCCGACGTCATTTCCAGCTGTAATCTCACTTTTTAAAGCGGCTCTGTATCGCGCACGGGATCGGCACGACCGTCCAGGGTGACTTTGACGCCCGCTGCCGGCCCGCCCGCCACCCGGCGCCCGCTAACATAGTCCGACCGCCACCCGGTCGCGCTGGGCCGCCACTAATCTGTGGCGGTGGGTCATGCACCCCGAGACGGTCCGACCGCTTGGCCGGCTGTTAATTTGGCGAATGGTGGGCGGAGGCCGCCCAGACCGAAAGACCTATCGAATTCTGCGTTGGGTTGCTGGAGTCCCCGTACGGTGTGCCGGGCTGATGCGCGAGCGTCGTCACTACGGGCAAGTGCCGGGCGTCTCCGCAAAGGGCATTTGAAGAGCACGTAGAAAATAAAAGTTGAATAACCGCGCTCTGGCCAGCCAACTTCCTGAGACCCGCCGCCGCACATAATGGGGTCAATGTCTCTCCTGGCCGCCTGGCGGCGCATGCGCAGTCGCCGCCTTCAGGTTACACAAGGCCGTCAACCCGTGGCCGCCACCAAAAATACCGCCCCGCCAGATGGCGTCCGGACGGCGGCGAAGGAGGAGGGAGGCCGTCCGACAGCTGACGGAGGAATAGGGGACGGGCGGTCACTGGAGAGGGGACATGACGTGAGGAGTCGACGGCACGAGAAATGACAAAATAGGCTGACGGGGCAGAGACGGGGCACGAGGTCAAAAACACTGCGGATGAAAAAGGGAGGGGAAGAGCGAAGGCACAGAAGAAACAAGGAGTGCCGGTGAGAGAACGAGGACCGGGGGGTGCACGCGCTTGACGTGGTGAGGCACGTGGTACAAGAATGACGAAAAACAGCCCACTCGTGACATGCGATGGTCTAAATACACAGGAGTCTAGACGAGCAGGAGCTTCGTTGTTAGGAGGCAATAGGGTGGACACATCCACTCATCGAATTCCAGTGCAGCCATCCCAACGGTCTATACCCAGTTCAAAACTGACGACGGCTCCACCCGGTGGTCGTCCCTGCCCTCCTGCGCTGATCACGCCGGGCGCACAGCCACCGCGCCCGTCTGGAGCGCGGCCGGCGCGCGCTCAAGGCGCTGGGTTCGTTCACTCTCCCTGCTCGGCAGCCAGCCGTGACCGGGCCGCCGGCCGGCAGTTCGACCGCGCGCCGACAGGTGGCACACCCGGA